ATTATGAATACATTTCTTTAAAATCGTTGGTGGCTTACATGAAAAGTTCAGGCAATCCGAATGATTAACTGTTGGTCTCAAGCTGTAATAAACGCGCAAAATGTTCCTCTGAATTCACCGTTGAACGTGATCCTCGATTTAATTTTGCAGCTGGGAGATGCGGCGTGATCCACGCGGTCGAGTTTACTACGTGGATCATAATACTAGGACAACAACGTGGCAACGACCCACAGCTGATATGCTTGAGGCACATGAGTTGTGGCAATCGAATCGTGATCAAGCGATGCATCAATGGGAACAAAGATATTTGTTACAGGTTTTGCTACAAATTGATGTAAGAAATACGTTGGAATAGAAATAGGATGGGGGAGGAAGAGACATGGAAGCCCAGCCAAAATAAGTCATTCCAAGCAGGATCGATGGGGAGGTCGAACTTGTGGAGTGGTGAAATCAAAGCCCCATCCATATTTTATGAGAAGCTGGGATAGTTGGCATTATTCCGAGGATAGTAAGTGTCTGTAAACATATATATATGATTACTGCTGACAAGTCGCTAATTGTCTGGGTCACTTTCAGGATTTCTCAGTCTCCTACGGAGGACTGAGAAAATGGTTTTGACTTATTCAGTTAAAATTTTTATTTACGATCTGGAAAAGTTTGTAACATTCGGCAGTATTTTTAGTCAAACACACTGATATCAAACGATGATCCACTAGGTCCGTTGCCGAATGGTTGGGAAAAGCGTGCTGATCCTAATACCGGACGTTTCTACTTCGTTAATCATGTAAACAGAACAACACAATGGGAAGATCCTCGAACGCAGGGGTTTGGTTTTTTTTATAATTTCTAGAGCAAACAAAAGATAGGAGAGTCTGCCTAACAAAAAGCGATTTCGCCAACCAGACATGCTAGGGAGCTAGAAATCCACGGATATATGCTGTGTCCATGTGCAGCCGAAATATTTCAATTTGAGCTTTAAAGCGTGCCTAGGTCTTGCGCGCGCGCCCAAGTGAATGTTTAGTTCTGGACACTGTTGACGGCCAAATAACTCGGTAACCAGAATGAGGAGGAAGCAGTATCTTTTTTTCGAGGATGTTTACTGTTCATGTGCGGGCCACCAGCAAGTATAACATGAGCTTTTGCCTAGGAACGGGTGCTGGAGCACAGAATGATTAAAATGCAATGCTGCAGCTATACCGCAGTAGTACAGGTGATCTCTCTACAGAATGGAGTGATGCAGAAATGCATGATCACAGCGGCAAGCCTGCAGCATTGCAGCCAGAATTTTAGACGCATGGCATGTGTGTTTGATGAAAAAAAAAAGTGTATAGCATTGTAGCGAGCTCGAGTATATTCAGTTTCCAGCGTAATTTTTTGATTTATTTCTAGCGTTTCGGATGAGCCATTGCCGGAAGGTTGGGAGATGCGATTCACGGAACAAGGAGTGCCTTTCTTTATTGATCATAATACGAAATCCACCACCTACAACGATCCTCGTACAGGGAAACCTGTTGGACCATTGGGTGTACACGGTGTACCGATGAGCTTCGAACGAACATTCAGATGGAAGATCGCACAATTCCGTTATCTTTGTCTGGTAAGTTATTTGCCAAAATTTTGGCAATAATAAAGATTATTCGCCAGGGCCCTGCAGTATGCACTCGTTTGTGAATTTGGGTGGCAGCTGCGAGACTCGCAGACATGCACAACTACGCGCTTCTATCTAGGTGAAATTTTAGATGTCATGCACTAGCTTGCCAGCTTTAACTTAGCATCTACTTTCTTATTAAGTATCATAGACCCATTTTACTGTCCTCCTCCTCCCTCCCCTCCCCATTTCAGTTCCCACCTTTAAACAAGGTCTTTTTTCCTTTCTCCCTTCTGTTTTGTGTCCCTGAGATCTTTGCCGATCCTCCCAACCTCCCCCACCGATTCCTCTCCTCTGTCATCTAAGCAGTTATCGCAAGTCGCCGCCCAACTAGTCCGAGTCGGGCTGAGTTTTAGTGATGGCTGAAATCACGTGTAACTGGTCGGTTATTAAAATTTGAGTTGGCCTGGCCGGCTTCAAATACAATTTACGAAGAAATTTCCCTGGCAGTGAAGGGTGGGCTACGACCTCACGGCGAATGGTGGGAGTTTGAGTGTGGTAGGTGGGGAGGGATAGTGTGCTGGCGATTTTTTTTCGAGGCAAGGGGGGGGG